AATATTTAATTTTTTTTATTATTACAAACTTTAAGTGTTAAATGATTATAACTCATATATAATTCTTATTCATGCTAAGGAAAATTTTCCATCTCCGCATGTGGATCAGTATACGAAACAAAACTTTGCAAAGGCTATCTTGAGGTAAATATTACTTTTGTTCTTAATATTGCTTTTTTTTTTCAATTTAACAAGTTACTATTATTAGTACGAGAGCTTTACCACGTTTCAAAGATTTAGTAGTTGAATTTTCGATTAAATGTCGAGATTTAGAAGACTCTGCATATGGACATACGTGATTTTTAAAAATATATGATTTTTTTATTAGATAATAAATTAATATGTACTTATATATTTTTCATGGGTTAATTTTTATCTATCTGCATGTTTTATAAAAAATTTTGAACATTTATTTTGAGAAATGCACATATTATCGACATGTTTAATCTTATTTAATCTTTGTTATACATCTCAAAGTTTTATTTATTAGAAAAGTAATTATAAAAAAAAAAATTTCGTTAAAGATTAATTTATTTTTTAAAATACAGTAGTCTTTTTTGATTTTGATATAGCATAGAGTTTGGGAAATGATGTTATTTTGGGGTAGTTTCAGGAAGAGATAACCAAGTGATTAACACAAATTATCACCCTCGAAATAATCTTTTAATAATAATTTTGATTGGTCAAAAATTTAAAAACGAAAATTTTACGACTGTGATTATAGTGTGGCGCAATATTGTTTTATAACTTTAATATTTTGGATCAAGTATGTAGATGATAGTATATTTGTTTAAAAAAAATGGTCCAAAAAATTTAGTTAAGTGTCTCTATTGCAAAAGTAAGTGGTTACATTTTTGATATACTAAAATGTACCCCAAATTTGAGTTACGTTATTAATGCATTTTAATTTTGTGATATAAGTTAGTAGCCAGATGACAAATAATATAGATTAAAATAATATTCATTAATGGATGTGACGCGTTATATACTTTTTCTTATTATGCAAAAAATGCATCACACTAGTATCTTGCATAGTATGTTTGTCGATCTATGAATTTTGTATACGTATAAAAAGTGATCTTTTCTTTACATGAAGTTGAAGCAACCTCCAATACCATTTCCTTGGTAATAACTCTACCAAAATCATTTACCTTAGAATAATTTATA